CCCACCCTGCTCCCAAGAAAGGGGACATGCTGTCCTGAACAGCTGTTGAGTTCTGTCCTTCCCTGCCTGCCCTGCTGGGCTCCAGTCTCTGTCCCCAGCTGTTCTCAGTAGGAGCAGGGACAGTGAGGGCTCAGGCGCACGTGCGCATGTACATGTGTGTGTGACTCCCCCCTGAGTCACAGCCCTCTACTGGGGGCTACATGTGTGTGTCACCGCAGTGTGGACAGAGTTTCCATCTTGGTCTGTGGGCCGAGGCAGCTGACCCTGATCCCTGGCCTCTGCCCCCAGGAGACCTGCCAGTACCTCAAGGATTACCTGACGCAGCTGCTGATCCCCTACGTAGTCAACGTGTCGTGGGCTGCCCAGTATTGCAGCTGGGCCCAGTGCCATGGCCACGGGCGCTGCGTGCGCCGCGACCCCAGCGCCAATACCTTTCTCCACCTCAGTGCCAGCAGCTTCCGCCTAGTGCCTACCCATGTACCTGGTGAGCCCCAGCTACGACCAGAGGGCGAGCTGAGCTGGGCCGACCGTGACCACCTGCAGAAGCACTTTCGCTGCCAGTGCTACTTAGGCTGGGGCGGCGAACAATGCCAGTGGGACCATAGGCGGGCAGCTGGGGGTGCCGATGGGGCCTGGGCTGGGCCCCACCTCACCAGCCTGCTTGCTGTGGCAGCCCTAGCCTTCACCTGGACTTTGTAGGGCGCTCTCACCTGGCTGCCAGGCAAGCTGGCCTCTGCCACAAGGACTCTGCCAGGCATGTAGGAGCCTGCAAAGAAGGGGTGGACAAACCGCTGCGTGCGCCGCGACCCCAGCGCCAATACCTTTCTCCACCTCAGTGCCAGCAGCTTCCGCCTAGTGCCTACCCATGTACCTGGTGAGCCCCAGCTACGACCAGAGGGCGAGCTGAGCTGGGCCGACCGTGACCACCTGCAGAAGCACTTTCGCTGCCAGTGCTACTTAGGCTGGGGCGGCGAACAATGCCAGTGGGACCATAGGCGGGCAGCTGGGGGTGCCGATGGGGCCTGGGCTGGGCCCCACCTCACCAGCCTGCTTGCTGTGGCAGCCCTAGCCTTCACCTGGACTTTGTAGGGCGCTCTCACCTGGCTGCCAGGCAAGCTGGCCTCTGCCACAAGGACTCTGCCAGGCATGTAGGAGCCTGCAAAGAAGGGGTGGACAAACCGGAGTCTGGAGGGGGCAGAGCCCCCTGGGATGCCCAGTAAGGCGTCCATGCCAGCTCTCACCACGCCCCCCTGTTCTAAGGGGGAGGGGCAGTCCCCGAGGGGGCCCCTTCTTTTCCTGTCAGAGAGGAAGAAGAGTATGGCCGGGGAGGACCTGACCCTGCTCCCCTGCCCCTGGATAGTTTATTATTATTATTTTGGGGTCTCTTTTGTAAATTAAGTATAAAACAACTGCTTCCGTGCGTGGACTGTCTGCACCTGGGCCAGGGCACGTGCGAGAGATTTCAGTGCCCTCCATGAGGTTTGAGCCCAGCTCTGTCCCTGCGATGCTCTTTGCTGGGGACTTCTCATCTGTAAATGTGTCCACTGGGATTTGGGAGCCTGGAGCTGCCCACTCTGCAGCTGTCCTGATGGGGCAGGGGCCACTAGGACTGGAGGGTCTCACGTGCCACCCCAACGCCAAGGGCCTTACTTTCTCCATATTGATTGGAATGTAGTGCGGCCTAACCGTCTGTGAGGGGTGGGACTCACTGTGCTTCTCCTACTGGCCCATGGAGCCCCAGCTGGGCCAGTGCCAGCCACCTCACCTTGCCCACCCAAGGAGAAGGGAAGAAGAGGATGTTTGATCTTTCCTGGCTAGGCAAGTCGCCAGACCACCCCTCCCTGCTGTTTCCACAGGCAAGGGCGTCTCCTCCACTCCCTACTCCCAAGGGTGGTGGACTCCAGCCACCTCTCCCCCCTGACTCACAGCCCTCTACTGGGTATGGTCGGAAGAGGCAAGCAGGGGATTGGGGTGTGAATTCTAGGGTCCAGTCCCCATCCCACTGCAGATACATGATGGGGCAAAAGGAAAGCATCATGAGCCTGGGAGCAGACGTTTTAAGAGGTCAGCCTTAAGAAGTCTCCTATACGTAGAATATGATTTGTCCCTGGCTACCCCAGGGGAGAGAAGTGGCAGCCAGAGCAGTCAGACTAGCTCTGCCCTGCTTCACGCCCCTGCACCTGAAGGGAGTTACCCTGGGTGGGTCTCTGCCCTGCCTCTTAACCATCACACTCACACCTGGGCGTCCCTGTCCAGTGATGACTCAGCCCTGCCCTCAGGACACACTGGCTCTGGGGGAGACAGGCTCAAGAAACAGCTGAGTGTTGAGGAGGGCAGCCAGCCACAAGGACTCTGGAGAGGTATCTTGGCGAAAGTGCTTTCTATGAGTTTTGAGAGGTAAGGAGGTGGCTCGATGCTAGGAGCAAGCAGGCACAAAGGCTGGAGGAAGCCAAACTCAGCTAGGACTCAGTAGGAGTCTGGGCTGAGGCTGGGGGTCTGCTGCAGGCCGAAGAGGGAGGGACAGCCCCGGAGCAGCACGAGACCTAACCACCAGAGGGTAGTGACTGTCCTGCCTGTTCAGTGAACGCATGGAACACACACCTGCCAGCGCTGGGCTCGCTGCTGGGGATGCGTCCGTGAACCACACCAACAAAGACCCCTGTCCCTGTGGACACAGTGTAGAAGGAGATGCACCCTACATGTGAAGATGACAGTGGAGGGTGCTCCCCAGAGAGGCACGCAGGTGCGGGGATGGCGCGGTTAGGGGAGCAGAGCCTGCAGAAGCAAGTCCCTCCAGATCGATGTCCATTCAGGTTGTAAAACAATTCCTCATCCGCCTAGCTGGTGATGGCAAAGAAGGGCGAAGGGCCGGGTGGTTGCCCCGGGAGGGCAACATCAATTCACGTTGAGGAGGGTCCCCAGGTGGAAGGTTTCCCAAGTGTTTGTGGCGGTGGTGGGGAGACAGCCTGCTGGAAAGAAGATTCAGATGTTGGCCAGTAAGACCATGAGACAATGGAGCCAAAATAAGGAGGGCGGCTGTGACCCACACATAGCACATCTGTGAGCTACCAAACCCACATCTGTAACCTCCCAACACACAGGTGATGAAGGCATACCAGTGGCCTCACCGACATGGCTGGGACCTTTCCCATTTAGCTATGACCCTTACATACCCATAACCCCCTATGTACAAAGCTGTGACCTGCACCCAGCCAGCTGTGATCCTTCCAATCCTGTGACTACCTCTTATCACTTCCTGAAGGGACCTGGAAGACAGCCTTGGAGAAAGCGCAACTTGAGACAGCCAGAGCTGTCCGGTGGGTAAACTGGGTGAGGGGATCAGGGAGTGAGGTGGCTCAGGGGCCTGAGGTCTGTACAACCAGAAAGCAGGCAGAGCTGGACCGTGAAGCTGGACTGACCTGTCAATGGAGCATAAAAAGTACATTCCTGAGAGGAATCAGTTCTTCATCCTCAGCCTCTGGGTTGTCCAAGAAGGTTATCAGATGTGCGGCCTAAAGGTGGACACCAGGAGGTCTCGTCACATCCCGCGGTCTGGGTATGTGAGTCCTTCAGGGGCTAATCAGAGGATTGGCCGGAACTCTGAGGTATGTCCAGGTGTCGATGTAGGACTGGACAGTTAAAAAGCTTAAGTCCCCAGGCTACTTGAAACAAGAACAAAATCTTTCCTTGGGCCTCAACCTACTTGATTTTAATAATTTAGCAGTTTGTCTATAGTGGTTCCATTTTATTTCTTCGGTCTGTTCCTCAGACCCCAGACATATGCCACTTGAACCAATCAGACCAGAATAACCTGGCAGAAGCTGGCCTATAGGTGGGGCCCTGGGGTGGGGGAGGGCTTCGGGCACCCCAGCTGCTTCCTGCTGTTTCACCATTAGATCGTCTCTCTTGGACTGAAGCCAGCTAGAGAATGCTTGCTGGCCAGCTGGTTGGCTGGATTGTGCCAGTTGCCGCACTAGGTTTCCGGGGGCACCAGGAGGTAGCATGGAGCCCTTGGGAGTTTGCCAGGCTCTCTGAACCTAATGGTCATCACTCTGGGACCCTGCTTCTGGAACAGGCTCAGCAGCCTCCACCTCTGTGGCTAGGTCATGGCTGGTGTGCCCACAGCCCCCAGCACGCTGGATCCTCCTCTCCATCCCTGCCAGCTTCTCCATCCTAGTCAGCCTGAAGGACCAAACCCAGATGGCAGCCATCCATGCCACTGCTGGTGACCACTATGCTGGAGACCACCATGCTGGAGGGTCACTGGCTCAGGCTCAGACTGGGCTGTAGACCCTGGCAGCATTTTCACCTGGGCCAGGGCCATGATGCTCCCTTCACCCCACCCTGGCAGGCAAGCTTGGGCCTGGGCACCTAACAGGTCTCAATCACTAGCTTCTGAATCAGCACGCAAGTGAAGTCACCAAGGAATGAACAAGCATGCAGTCACTGATACACCCTGCACAGACCCGTGGTCTTACCAACGTGGTCTCACAGTCACAAGACAGCTGAGTCTCACACTCTGCTGGAGTTTGCATGGAGGCTCAGATGGCCACTAACTACACCTTCACAGAGATATAATAATCGCTGACCCAGCAAGTGTACAGAGGGTGACAACACAGGCCTGACTTCATGAGCACAGTGCCTTTCAGACACAGGTTCCCTAAAGCAGGGATGACTTATCTACCGGGCACAGGGCCTAAGAGCCACAATACTTCTAGGGACCCACAAACATGATTTGATTTTTATTTTTTTAATAGAAGAAAAAATATAAATAATATATAATGAAGTCATTCTGGATTGTATTTCTTTATACCAACATTGTTGTAAAATATATTTTTAAATATTTTTTGAGGAAGGGACTCACAAAGGCAAAAGTGTCCAGGGCTCCCAGATGTCATGATGCAGCTATGCAGGGCAAATTCACTCCCTGGGTGAATTTGTCCAGGGCTCCCAGATGTCATGATGCAGCTATGCAGGGCAAATTCACTCCCTGGGTATTCTTCCGAGGCACCCAGACTCCAGTACCACAAACAGGCCTGCCCAGCTGGGCGGCCACCCAGACAACCCCCCTGCACTGCCTCAGTCCAAATAAAGCCACCCCCACCTCAGTCCAAATAAAGCCACAAAGCCCTGCCCTAATGCTGACAGTGTGGGAGGAGGGGCCATTTCCTGCCCAGGCCCCACCCCGACCAAGAGCACTTTGCTAGGGATGCTGAGGTGGCTCTGCTGCCTGGCCCTGGCCCTCCGAGGCCCGCCCCCATACTGGGTGGGGTGACCCCCTACAAAAGCTCAGAGTTGTCAGCAGCCGCTTCCTCCAAGAGTCTGGTGCAGCTGGAACACAGTTAAGGAACAAAGAATCTTGCTGATTCTTGTCTAGGCGCTCACCCTGGGGTCAGGAAGTTTGGAGAATGAGGCCCTTCAGCCCTGAGGTTTGCAGGAACAGCGGACAGACTGGTGGGTGGATATACAGGCGAGCTGGGCCAGCCAGTCCTTGATCACTGAGCATTCCCCCTCCAACGACTGGCTGGGATTCCCGGAAGAAGAGACAGAAAAGGCACCCCCATTAGTCAGGTAAGCCTGGGGGCCAAGGGCCTGGCTTCCTGCCAGTCTTCTTAGAACAGATGTCATGGCTTCTGTGGCCCTTGGGGAAGTAGGGTGGGTGAGCCTAGGCCAGGGCAAGGCCTGTGGGAGACGGCAAAGGCTGGGCCCTAGAGGAAACTTGGACATGCCCTCCAGGGACTTTGTTCCTTTCTATGCTTTTTCTTTGCCCTTTGACCTCCCTGAGCCCTGCGGGTTGGTGTTTACCTGAAACCAGACCAGGGGTGGATTAATGAGCCAGGGGTTTGGACTGCTTGCCCTGAGCAGGCGTCAGAGAGTTCAAGGCCTGCTCTCAGCTCTGCCTCCCGTGGCTAGGTTTCCCTAGACCTACCCTGTGCCATGGCAGCCCACCTGCTTCCTGTCTGCGCCCTCTTCCTGACTTTGCTCGGCATGACCCAAGGCTCCGGAGGCCCTGTGGTACCCGACCAGCCCTTCACCACCGTCTGGAATGCAAACACCCAGTGGTGCCTGGAGAGGCACGGCGTGGACGTGGATGTCAGTGTCTTTGATGTGGTGGCCAACCCCGGGCAGACCTTCCTTGGCCCTAACATGATCATTTTCTACAGCTCCCAGCTGGGCACCTACCCCTACTATACATCTGCTGGGGAGCCTGTGTTTGGCGGCCTGCCCCAGAATGCCAGCTTGGATGCCCACCTGGCCCACACATTCCAGGACGTCCTGGCTGCCATGCCTGTGTCCGACTTCTCAGGGCTGGCAGTCATTGACTGGGAGGCATGGCGCCCACGCTGGGCCTTCAACTGGGACACCAAGGATATTTATCGGCAGCGCTCACGGGAACTGGTAGAGGGGCAGCACCCTGACTGGCCAGCTCCTTGGGTGGAAACAGCAGCCCAGGAACAGTTCCAGAGGGCTGCACAGGACTGGATGGTAGCCACCCTCAAGCTGGGACAGGCACTGCGACCTCGTGGCCTCTGGGGCTTCTATGGCTTCCCTGACTGCTATAATTATGACTTTCTAAGCCCTAGCTACACAGGAGAGTGCCCACCAGGTATCCGTGCCCAGAACGACCAGCTGGGGTGGCTGTGGGGCCAGAGCCGTGCCCTCTACCCTAGCATCTACATGCCCTCAGCGCTGGAGGGCACGGGGAAGGCACAGATGTATGTGCGGCACCGTGTGGGTGAGGCATTCCGTGTGGCTGTAGATGCTGGGGACCCCAGTCTGCCGGTGTTACCCTACGTCCAAATCTTCTATGACATGACAAGCCGTTTTCTGTCCCTGGTAAGTCTCGTTCTGTGACCCTGCCCACCCTGTACCTTACCTCGTCAGGCATTAGGCCCAGCAGCTGAGGCCATACAGGCTTTGGGCATTTTCATCCATTCATTCTCTTGTTCTTTGAACACCTGTCGTGTGCCAAGCTCTGTGCTAGGCACAGGTGGTTCAACATTCATTAGCGGGATGCAGTCCCCACCTGCATGGCCCTCACAGGCTAGGGAGGGCACAGGCTGGCCATTGGCCACCAGGGCCAGAGCAGCCCCAAGTGGGGGTTATGAGTTATTTACCTCATCCGGTGTTACAGTAATCTGCTGTGGAGCGGGAGAGGGGCTCCACAGAGCTGTGCCGTCCCTTTCCCCAGGATGACCTGGAGCACAGCCTGGGGGAGAGTGCAGCCCAGGGGGCAGCAGGAGTGGTGCTCTGGGTGAGCTGGGAGAACACCAAAACCAAGGTAAGCTCAGGCCCAGGGTGGGCGCGGGGGCGGAAGGTGCTGCCCCGCTGACTGGGGAGACCTTGGTCCACCCTTCCCACTCCCGAAGTCCTGGCTGGCCAGCAGGCGAGGGCTTCAATGCCCTAGGTAGGCCCATGCATGGCCGTGGTGTCCCCGACACTCCCTCTCCTACCCAGGAATCATGCCAGGCCATCAAGGAGTATGTGGACACCACGCTGGGGCCCTTCATCCTGAACGTGACCAGTGGGGCTCGTCTGTGCAGTCAAGCCCTGTGCTCCGGCCATGGCCGCTGTGCCCGGCGCCTCAGCCACTCTGACGCCCTCTTCACCCTCAACCCCGCCAGTTTCTCCATCGAGTCCACACCTGGTGGTGGGCCCCTGACCCTGCGAGGTGCCCTCTCACTTGAGGATCGGGTGCGGATGGCTGTAGAGTTCAAATGTCACTGCTACCCTGGCTGGAGGGGAGCATGGTGTGAGCAGCAGGGCACCTGGTGATCGGCCACACACCGGGACACACAGAGTACCACTTAATGCACTCTGGGCCCGGCCAAGGCTTTTTCGAATACAGGCAGTTACATGAGTCGTGGTCACAGTCAGCAGTACACTCAGCCACTGTCATGAGCATATACCTGCGCATGCACACATGCTTACAGACCGGGATAGTTCCATAAGGAGTTCGAGACTCAGGCACCCACCAGCAGTCAAAAAATCTCTTCCAGAGACACTGAGCCAGTCTTTAAACTGCAGCAATCACAAAAACTGACATTCACGGAGCGCCTACTCTTCTCCAAGTCCTGTGCTAAGCATTTTAAGTAGGCTAACTCATTCATTCCTAACAAGACGCTATGAGGAAACTGAGGCACAATGGGAGAGAAAGCCCTCTGCCCAAGGTTGCACAGCGAGAAAATAGGGAAGCTGAGATTCGAACCCATGCTCTTTGGCTATAGAGGTAGAGCCCTTTGACTCTTACTATGTGTTGATGGTAAACAGCCCTGCACGCAACTTGAATCCGTTCAGAGGCACCAGCCCCGAAAATAAAGCAAATGATGATTCTTGCATCAAATGCTGTTTATTGAGCGCCTAAAATGTGCAGGCGCCAGGATCCAGAGGGCACAGTAGTCTCGTCTCTCAGATCTGACGTCAGTCCGAGGGCGGCTGCTTCCCAGGGCGGGGCCCACATTTCAAGAGGAAGTTCCACCTGGCCATTTCCACGCTGGACGTGGGCAGAAGGCCGGGAGCTGAGACAAAGCGGAGCAGGGGCGAGACTTGAGTCCGGGGGTGAGGCGGGAGCGGAGCCAACTGGAGGAGGGGCCTGCCCGCCCAGCTTAGGCTTGGGGAGCACCGGGCGCCAGCACCGCCTCCGCAGAGCCAAATCGAGGCGGGACCTAAGCGGTGACGCACGGAGCGAGAGACTGGGCCTCCATGGGGCGGGGCCTGGAGGGGCGGAGCCAACAGGAGATGGAGCCAGCGTTGGGTCCGAGTGGCGACGCGCAGGGAGCAGGGCCGGGTTCAGCGCGCTCGGGCGGGGAAGAGGCGGAGCCAGGGTACAGACCAAGTCTGCGTCCCGTCAGTGTTATGACGCATGGGCCGGGCGCGGGGCCTAAGAGGGTCCCCCGGGGGCCTGGGGGGGGGGCCTGGCCGCCCCGGGAGACTCTGGACCAAGTGGTGCGCCGCGGCTTGCGACGACCGCAGTGCGTCCGCCGCACCGCTAGGGGCCAGCGCGGGCGGACGGAGGAGTCCGAGCCAGAGACAGCGAGTTCCCGATCTGTGCGGAGCCAGGACGCCGAGCATCCTGGATCCCGGCTTCAACATGTCAGTACCGCCCTCACCCCGTGCGCTGCGTGTCCGTCCTCTTTATACCCCGCGCATGTCTTCTCCGCGCGTGCAGTCAAGTGCCTGTGTCGCCCCGCACGCCCTCCCTGTGTCTGTGGTTCCCTCCCAGAGCATGCCGAGCCACACCCACCCAGAGTCAAGCTCCCGAAGCCCCTCACCCCCACAGCAGCACGGTTTGCCACCCACTAAGAGGGAGGGGAAAACCGAGGCACCGGAGGGACAGTGCCTCCTCTCTCTGAGGACCCAGGGGCCCCGCCCACAGTGGGTTGGGTCGGTACTGAAGGGGTTAAACCGGGGGGGAAGATTGAGGTTCCAGGCCTAGAGGCAGATCCTGGGGCTTCCTTCCTCCTGGTGAAAGGGTGTCGCAGCTGCGGAGGTAACTGATTGCAGGTGAGGGCCTTAGAGCCCTCGGCGTGGAATGTGGTGTGAGGCGAGAGGCCCACCTGTTACTGATCAGTGTGGAATTGGCCTCAACTCAAGGGACCTTCCTGGGGAGGTGGGGAAGGGGAGCCACGACACACCCTCTGATAAGCAGGTGAGTAGAATGGTGGGGCCCAGCACCTCCCCCAGCCCTCACCCCCACCGCCAGAAATCCCCCAACATAGATCCTTCTGCCAGCAGGGCCTGAGGTAGGATGGGCAAACAATGGGGTTTGGGTGCAGAAGATCTGGACCCCTAAGCTGGTGGCCGTTGGAACCCCTGTGAATGGAGGAAGGAAGCTGTGGTCCTTATCTAGGGTTGCTACGAAACTCAGGCCAGTGCAGAACCAGGCTTGCAGGAGCTACCGCTGCTGTGTGACTGTGAGCCAGGCCCCTTGTTAGTGCTACAGGGGCCCCATCTGAGGGTACAGTTGGGTCCATGCTCAGTCAAAGTGCCCTGGCAGTGTTGGGGAGGGGATCATGGGCCCTGTGCCCCAGGCAGAGAAGGCAATCCAGGGAGGGGAAAACAGCCCAATGGGTGGGTGAGTGGTGTCCCAGGATCTGTTAAATGGTGGGCGTGGCCCAGGTGGTCAAAAAGGGTGACCTGGAATATAGGCAAGGGGGGTCCTGGTGATAGTTGTGTTCCCCCCAAAAGGAGCCTTGGATGGGTTTAAGCAGGGGTCATGGTGTCTGGTTTGCATGTTCTGTCCACTAGCCAGCGAGCTGCAGTGCTATAGGGCTAGATCAACTGTCCTGGGGAGGACAAAGTTGTAGCCAGACCAGGCTAGGGCCAGGACTCCTAGGTTCTGCCCCAGCCTTTAGCCCTCAGCCTCTGTCCAGTGTGGGGCATGACACTCTAAACCCATCCCCTCTGCTGTCCACCTGAGTCAGCTCCCCTAGGTATAGAAAAGAGATGGGTCTCCTCCAGCTTACCTGTGCTATTAGGTGAGTATGGGAACAAGGTGCAGCCCACTACTCCCCTGTTCTAGGATGCATGGCTCCCCTAGTACTCTGTCAGCCCCTTCCTGCTCCAGGCCTATCCTCCCTCCTAGAACAGCCCAGCATGGCTGGTGTCCATAGGAGGAGTACCCTTGTGGTCTGAGGAGATGCCAGGTCCTGGAGACCATGGCCTTAACCCCCAGCTTGGCACTGAGCCACCTGCAGCCCAGCAAGAGATAGCCTTGGCTCCCAGCCTGACTTAGCCAAGCCTGGATCTTGCATGTAGGCAGGAGCTGACTCTGAGCCCTGGCCCAGCCAAGCTGACCCCTACCCTAGACCCTGCACACTGGATGGAGCTGATCCTGAGTACCAGCCCAGCTGAGCTGACTCTGGATCCTGCATGCCAGCCAGAGCCAATCCTGAGATCCAACCTGGCCAAGCTGACCCTGGATCCTGCACACCAGCCAGAGCTGATCCTGAGCCCCAGGCTATCTGAACTGACCCCGGGTTCTGCATGCCATCCAGAGATGACCCTCAGACCTGGCTCAACTGAGCTGACCCTGGAGCCTGTGCACTGCCGACCTGAGCTCCTGGATGCCTGTGCCGACCTCATCAATGAGCAGTGGCCCCGCAGCCGGGCCTCCCGCCTGCACTCCTTGGGCCAGTCTTCAGACAACTTCCCCCTCTGCCTGATGCTGCTGAGTTCCAACCCCACACCCGGGGCAGCCCCCATCGTGGTGGGCCATGCCCGCCTGTCACGGGTGCTGGACCAGCCCCAGAGCCTGCTAGTAGAGACAGTGGTGGTGGCCCGGGCTCTAAGGGGCCGTGGCTTTGGCCGCTGCCTCATGGAGGGCCTTGAGGTCTTTGCCCAGGCCCGGGGCTTCCGCCGGCTGCATCTCACCACCCATGACCAGTTAAACTTCTATGCCCACCTGGGCTACCGGCTGGGTGAGCCTGTGCAGGGCCTGGTCTTCACCAGCCGTCGGCTGCCCACCACCTTGCTCAGTGCCTTCCCCAGGGCCTTTCCCCCCCGACCACCCTGCAATGTCCTCAGCCCGACTGCTCAAGCTGCTCCAAGAGCCCCCAAAGGGCCATCCTTGCCACCACCCCCTCCCCTGCCTGAGCCCTTGACCTCCTCATCACTACTTCCAGCAAGGCCCCTTCCACAAAACCTGCTGGAGACACAATACTGTGACCTGAGAGGATGCCCCATATTCTGGATGGAAAAGGACATCTGAGAGCCACTAAGGGCAAGGCACTGTCTTTCTGGGTCAATGAACTACCCAGGACAGTCCTAGCCTCAGCACACTGGCCATACCTCAGCCCCTAACCCCTGACCTCTGGGGACAGCTTTAGCCTGAGCATGTTTCCTAAGTGCCAATAAGGCCAGGAGATGGCTCCTGGCTCTGGCTCAGAGCTGTCAGTGTGGCCGAATAAAGGCTTTTGTTGGGTGTAGCTATGACAGTTTATTTGTTGACCCCCACTCTTACCTCTCAGCCTCATCTTAGGTCCCCTGTCCCTCCAGGAGCCTCCAGATCCACCTTGGCCCTGAGGCCATGGATGGAAGGACACCTGCCCTTTGCCACACCCACTCTGCCATGTTCAGGGAACAGGGTGTCTGTCCCTTCCGCATGCACTCACTCATCACCATTCACTAAGCACCTACTATATGTTAGGCCCTGGGCTGGGCACGGACAACGGGAAACTAGATAGATAGGATCTTACTAGATAGGCTCTTGACCCAAGGTGACAGGGAGACAGATACAGTGGCAGGGTCTATGCTGGGACAGTGGGAGCCTAAGCACCCTCTACCTGGAGCTCCAGAAAACCTCCCACGGGAGGTGATTCCACAGCAGAGACTTGAGTGCTGAGTAGGAATTAAGCCAGGCAAGGTGGGGGCTGAGTGTCATTGGGGCAGGAAACAAGATGGGCAGAGGAAATAAGGGGACTTGTGGATAGAGAAGGTGTCAGAGGGTACAGTAGTGCCATGACAGAGATGGAAAACTTGAGAAGGTAGCTGCCCAGGCCTGCTTGGGGTGTCGCTGCTCTGAGGCGTATGGGACCCCTTGAGGACTGTGCTTTTCCTACCCCCACTCTTCTTGGGAGCTGAGGAAGTTTTCCCAGCTTTCCCTGCTGTGTGGGAGGTATGGCCATGGACTTTAAGCTCACAGCCCTTTTCTCCTGCAGGTTTCCATTCCCGAGGCATGACCATGCAGCTAGGCCCGGCCCTGGTGCTAGGGGTGGCCCTGTGCCTGGGGTGTGGCCAGCCCCTGCTTCAGGGCCCCGAACGCCCCTTCTCGGTGCTGTGGAACGTACCCTCAGCACACTGTAGGGCCCGCTTTGGTGTGCATTTGCCACTGGAGACCCTGGGCATCATAGCCAACCGCGGCCACCGTTTCCATGGTCAGAACATCACCATCTTCTACAAGAACCAGCTTGGCCTCTATCCCTACCTTGGGCCCATGGGCACAGCTCACAATGGGGGCATCCCCCAGGCTGTGCTCCTTGACCGCCACCTGGCACGGGCTGCCTCCCAGATCCACCGCATTCTGGGACCTGGCTTCGCTGGCCTGGCAGTGCTGGACTGGGAGGAATGGTATCCACTCTGGGCTGGGAACTGGGGCCGCCGCCGAGCCTATCAGGCAGCCTCATGGGCTTGGGCACAGCAGGCATTCCCCGACCTGAACCCCCAGGAGCAGCTCCACCAGGCCCGTACTGGCTTTGAAAAGGCAGCCCGTGCACTGATGGAAGGCACGCTGCGGCTGGGCCAAGCACTGCAGCCCCGTGGGCTCTGGGGTTTCTACCACTTCCCAGCCTGTGGCAACGGCTGGCATGGTATGGCTTCTAATTACACGGGCCACTGCCACGCAGCCACCGTCACCCGCAACACCCAACTGCATTGGCTCTGGGCTGCCTCCAGCGCCCTCTTCCCCAGCATCTACCTCCCACCCAGGCTGCCTCCTGTTTACCACCAGACATTTGTCAGGTACCGTCTGGAGGAGGCATTTCGTGTGGCCCTCGCTGGGCACCCACATTCCCTGCCTGTCCTGGCCTATGTCCGCCTCACACACCAGTGCTCTGGGAGGTTCCTGTCCCAGGTGAGTGGAGGTTGATGTCTAGCGAGGAGGCATGACCCTGTCCTAGGAAGGTCTGAGGGGGATTTGAGGGGGAGGCCTTGATCTAGTTGGTGGGGTGGGGGTGGAGGGGCACGGTTCTGTCCTGGAGCATCTGATGAGCTGTGGCTCTGCCCCAGAAGATCTTGAGGAAGAAGGCAAGGCCCAGCCTTGGAGCCCTGATCTGAGTGAAGACATTGTCTGAACAGAGGGCCTGAGAAGCCACTCAGAGGTTCAGTACCAAGGGGCCCTACTCTAGATGTGGAACCAGATCATGGCAGTGAGCCAGGTTTCTGGAAGGTGGATCAGATGGATCTGGCCAGCGGAGCCCTGGCTTAACAGCTCTCTGCTTCCAGGATGACCTTATGCATACCATTGGTGTGAGCGCAGCGCTGGGGGCAGCCGGCGTGGTGCTCTGGGGGGATCTGAGCATCTCCAGTTCTGAGGTGATCATTGCCTGCCCCGCCTCCAGCCTGGCACTCAGCCTGTGTTGGGGTCCCAGGGTCGGGAAGAGACCATGTCAGAGCCACCGAGCAGGAGTATTGATACCTCCCTCCCTTCTCAGGAGAAGTGCTGGCGTCTTCATGACTACCTGGTGGATACCCTGGGTTCTTATGTGATCAACGTGACCAGGGCGGCCATAGCCTGCAGTCATCAGTGGTGCCATGGCCATGGGCGCTGTGCCCGGCAAGACCCAGGACAGCTGGAAGCCTTTCTGCACCTGCAGCCAGATGGCAGCCCTGGAACTTGGGAGTCCTTCAGCTGCCGCTGTTACTCGGGCTGGGCTGGCCCCAACTGCCAGGAGCCCAGGCCTGAGCCTGGGCCTGAAGCAGCATAAAGCCAGGAGTCACCTGCCCCAACCCTCTTGTCCCTGCTGCCATTTACCAGTCCTGGAGGATTCTGTCTCTTGTTCTATTTAGCCTAGCCAATCCTCTCATACACACACCCCACCTCCCATGAAAGAGACCAGAAAAAAAACGTTTACACCGTTTTAAAACCAGGGCCCTGTGAGATCACCTGATCCCTCCTAAAAAGAAGCAGCCCCAGGGAGAGAGAAGGTTCCGGATGGTTAGGGTCACCAGCCCAGGGTTCAATTCCTACACATCACTGGGTCCATGAAGTGGTCACAGGAGACTTACCACTCCAAGGGCATGTAGGCCCCATTATCTTGGCTAAGGTATGTAAGCTGTTGTCTGTACTTTGCTTTCTTTCATCATAAAGTCATTTTTTCTTTCACTGCCTGAGGTTTGGCTGTTCCCTCTGTTGCAGCAAGCCCTAAGTTCATCCCATCGCGAGCGTCCCGCCTGCTGCAAGTGCCCCTAGATGCGGGTCATTGCGTGGTGGGCGGCTCCAGGGGGGCAGCTTCCTAGTTAACGACTGTGGAGGCGTACCCGTGGTGGGGGTGAGGGAGGACGCAGAGCATTGTGGGTATATAGTTCACCTAGTGTCGTGGGCCTGAGGGTTGTGGGAGTAGACTACAATTCCCGAGGTGCTCTGCGCCCACCCGAAAGGCGGCAATCTGCGCGCGCAGCCCCTAGGGACTAGTAGTTTTGGCCGCGGGGCTGTGGGTCTGAACCGAATGACCAGGAACTCGCCTTCCCGGCGACCCGTCTAGCAGGGCGGGGCGCTTCCACCGGTTTGGCAGGGCGGGGCGCCTCGTGAAGATGGTGGCACGCGCGGCGTGTGGCTCCCGTCTTCTGCTCAAGTCTCATCTCAACGCACCGGCCGGCGTCTCGCTGGTCTGGAGCCCCCGCCCGCCGGGTCCCTGACCCCACGCCCCCTCGTGCCCGATACCCGCAATGCCGCGTGCTCGTAAGGGCAGCGCACCCCGCAAGGGTGGCCAGCGCCGCGGAGGGGGTAAGTGGGGAGCACGGGACAACTGATGAGCGATGGGCCCCGCATGGGGCCCTGCGTGGGGCCTTGTCGGTGTCCCCGAGGGTCCTGGGCGGAAATCTGTGCCGGGATCAGCGTGGCACGGTCTCCTGCAACTTCCCAGCTGTTCGCACGTGCTCCGGGAGACGGCTGCCACGTGTGCGCGCAAGTTGAGCGCGCTGCTTGCTGGTCAGGAAGGAGTCTGTGCTCCAGACCCTAACCTGGTACGCATCTCCCGGACTCGGTTTACCTGTTGCTCCTCCGCCCCAGTTACCTGCTGTGGTGGAGAAACCCGCAGGACAGAGCAATTTCCCCAATTCCTGATCTTTTCCAAGACTGGACTGGAAGTTGTTGGGAGGCCTGGGGGGGAGAACTGAGGGAGGGGGCGATAGGGAAGCTGCAGGATTCTGACCTTGGCCGACCTGGCCCTAGAGGGTAGATGAGTGCCTTGGAGCCCCAGGTGGTCCCCATCTGCTTATCAGCGTCCACCAGGAGCCTGTCCTGGTGCATGCAGCAAACACATGTTTACTGGGCAGTGATGGGGTGGGTGCCTTGCTAGGCACAGCTCAGACCTTGCCACCACCCTAATGGGGCTTGGGTGGAGGACACCTAAGAGGGTAGTGACATTCCGTAAGGACTGGTGTTAAGGGACTAGTTCACTGAGTGGCGCCTGCCGTAGACTTAGGAACCAAGGAAGCCTCAAGGTTGGGACTTCTGAGTGAGTCCTGAGAAGGTCAAGAGAAGAGCACAGTGGGAGGGGACAAGTTGTGCAAAGGCATGGTATCTGGAGGGACCATGACACAGTGGAGATAATGAAGGAACCTGGGTGCTCCAGTTGGTAGAGTGGTGAGCAGAGACCTGAGTGAGTGTTGGACTTTGTCCCGCAGGCATATGGAGTTTATAGTTCCTGAGAAGTAGGGCCAGCTTGGTGACCAGAACCCATCTGGGTCTCTGCTTCAGCAGCTGCCCTGGCCAAAGCCAGCCCCTGGTCCTGAGCAGAACCCACACACAGGACTGCTCAGTTCTGCTGAGCCTGACATTCCCCTGTGTTCACCTATTTTCAGGGGCAGTCCACTTCCTGCCCTTCCTAGGGACAGGAGGAGCTCTTGTGTCCATCCACCCGGGGCTGAAAGCCTTGGATGGACCAAGGGAAGCTCAGAAGATAGTATGCTTGAAGGCAGGGGCACCCTCCCATATCCACTAGCAGCTGGGTTTCTGCTCCCAAGGCCGATGGGTGACCTGGTAAGCTTGTTGGTCCACAGAAGAGCCATAACTAGTCAGTTGTTAAAGTCATTGTCTTCATTTGCTCCACTCGAAAGAGGTGCTTTGGCATCTCTGTTTTGCAGAGAAACTGAGTCTTTGAAGGCTAAGTTCCTGACCTGGTTATGTCCCTGTTAAGATGTGGAGCTGGGATTTGAACCCTGAGTCTGACTGACCTTGTAATCTAAGTCCCTGACTCTTGCCTTGGCCATTTTGGGGCATAATCTGGGCTGGTAGCTGAGCTCCCCCAAGATCTTCCTGGATGTGCGCCCACTCCGGGCTGGGCCACAGGCCCAGGTGGTACCTATGCAGCCCCTTCTGCCTCCACCTGGTTTGCAGTCTCCTCCTTAAAGCAGGCTCTGGTCTCAGGGAGGCTCTGTTTACTGTGCCTGCCAGATTTTCCTGGGCTGGGCCTAGTGCCCGGCAGGTAGACCTCGTTCCCTTTCTCCTACATCCTGGCTCAGTGTTTCCTGCAGCAGCCCCTGTGGCTCCCACCTCAGCCTTTTCTCATCTAGAGATGGACAGCATTGTCTCTTGTGGGTTCATGAGGCTGGGTGAGGTAGCCCCAGCCATCACTCATCAATGGAGGCAGGCCACGTTCCCCATTCCACCCTCTTCAGGTACCCGGAGCAGTACCCAAGTTGACTCAGGTTCCAGCGAGGATGAGGCAGCCAGTGAGGCCCGCAGCACCACCAGTGACTGCCCCAGCCTTCTTAGCACCGCGGCAGAGGACAGCCTTGGTGAGAGTGGGTGGGAGTTTGGCAGGGACTCGGTGGGGGCTCCATGGGCAAGGGCAAGAGGCAGGGCTGACCAGCTGGCCTTGCAGGGGGGGATGCCGTGGATGAGCAGGGCCAGCAGGAGGACCTTGAGGAGAAATTGAAGGAGTATGTGGACTGCCTCACAGACAAGAGGTACCCCTGACTGCCAGCCAATCCCTACGCCCATGTCCCTGCTTCACCCATGCCAAGTGTGATCCAGGTCGCGCTGGCTCACAGAACCCCTCTATTTTATCTCCTAGCACCAAGACACGGCAAGGCGCCCTTGAGAGCTTGCGCCTGGCCCTGGCTTCACGCCTACTGCCGGACTTCTTGATGGAGCGCCACCTCACACTGGCCGATGCCTTGGAAAAGTGCCTCAAGAAAGGTTGGACCCAGGGCACGTGGGTGACCTGAACTGGCCAGGTGCTGACCTTTGTGCATGGCTGACTAAAAAGCATCCCTGCAGGGAAGGGCGAGGAACAGGCCCTGGCCGCCGCCATGCTAGGTCTGCTCTGTGTGCAGCTGGGCCCTGGACCCAAGGGTGAGGAGCTGTTCCACAGCCTGCAGCCCCTCCTGGTCTCCGTGCTCAGTGACAGCACAGCGAGCCCTGCTGCCCGGCTCCACGTGAGTGTTCCATGCTCTGTGACACCCTTCTGTCACTCAGCCCCTAAACAGAGAGGGGGGCTCCACCTGCCTCCAGCCTCCCCTACTCTGAGGGTGAGCCCTCGTGGCTAGGAACCCAGGCTCACTCTCTGACCATGACCTGGCTTTCCCTCTTCCCAACAGTGTGCTTCTGCTCTGGGCTTGGGCTGTTATGTAGCTGCTGCCGATGTCCAGGTAAGTGGCCTTTGGGCACAGGTAGTAGAGCACCTAGGCCCTAGCTCTGTCCTGAGCCACTGTCCTGCCTCCCTGTGCCCCTAGGACCTGGTCTCTTGCCTCTCCTGCTTGGAAGGTGTTTTCAGCCGGGCTTGTGGTGTGGGTGGCTCCACAGCTCCTGTGGCTCCTACGAGCCTGCACGGCCTGTTGTGTGCTGCCCTGCAGGCCTGGGCATTGCTACTCACCATCTGCCCCAGCGCCCACATCAGCCACATCCTTGACAGGTAGGGATGACTGCCTCCTGGGTCTGGGAGGGGAAAGGCGAAGAGGCCCCCAACCCACAGACATAGCTCTGTTTGCCCCCTCCCCAGGCAGCTGCCCCGGCTGCCCCAGCTCTTGTCCAGCGAAAGTGTGAACCTGCGGATCGCTGCCGGCGAGACCATCGCACTGCTCTTTGAGCTTGCCCGGGACCTTGAGGTGTGAGGGGGGGGTGCCCGCTGACACCACCTGCCTATCCCAGGCTGGACGAAGGGGATACCACAGAAAGCAAGACCCTTAGGTCACTGGAGAGCGGAAGTAGCCCCAACACAGACTCGCGTGCTAGGGGCCGTGTAGGGGTTCTCTGAGCAGGGGTGTCCAGCCTAGGCAGGGGCCAAGAAGGGATTCAGGGGGGCCGGGCAGAGAAGAAAAAGACTTCCTCAGTGAAAGGAAGGGTTTGGAGAACCCCATGTTGAAAGCCAACCGAGCTCAGGCTTCTGCTCACACATCCTTCGTCGCTCCCACTGCAGGAGGACTTTGTTTACGAGGACATGGACGCCCTCTGCAGTGCCCTGCGCACTCTGGCCACCGACAGCAACAAGTACCGCGCCAAAGCTGACCGCCGGCGCCAGCGTTCTACTTTCCGTGCCGTGCTGCACTTTGTCGAGGTGCGTGTGAGAATGTGTGTGTCCTGGCAGGAGTGCATTCCCAGGCACAGTGCCAAGCCCAGTCCTGCCGGCCCCTCTACCCTGCAGGGCAGTGAGTGTGAGGAAGAAACAGTCCGCTTCGGCCTCGAAGTGCTCTACGTGGACAGCTGGGCTCGGCGCCGGGTCTACGCCGCCTTCAAGGACGCGCTGGGGTCGGGCATGCACCACCACCTCCAGGTGGGGAGGCCAGCAGGGAGGGGCCACCCAGCTTGTCTGCCTGGAACTGGCCTGAGCTCACCGCTGTCTCTGCCCCCAGAACAATGAGCTGCTTCGTGACATCTTTGGCCTGGGCCCTGTGCTAGTGCTAGATGCCGCTGCCCTGAAGGCCTGCAAGATCTCGCGTTTTGAGAAGGTTCGCACCCTTGGGCACCCTCCATCCCCACCTCCTGGAGCTCTGCAGGGGCTAGAGGAGAAGCCCTGGGCCTCCCCCTCCCCAGCTCACCAGATCATCACTCTTTGCCCCCACTTCAGCACCTGTACAATGCTTCTGCCTTCAAAGCGCGGACCAAGGCACGCAGCCGCATGCGAGACAAGCGGGCGGACATCCTGTGAGCCAGGACCAGCTGAGGTGGAGACTGTCCACACCATTGCCCGTATTTTTAACAGAAGACAGTGCAACAACTGGTCCTTGCCAGAAATTGTCGCTTTATTTTCTTAATGACAAAACCAAAAGCAGACATAGGGGTGGGTGGCTGGAGGCCGGGTCACTTGGGATCCTGGCCCTTTGCCCCTGCACTCAGCCCTGTGGCCTCTTCCTGCCGTCTCAGGCCAAGGCGGATGTGCGCCTGTCCCAGGGCTGTGGGGCAGGCAGTAGGAGGGCTGTCCCTTTATCTCCTTTCTCAGACCTGTTCCCCTGGGATGAACCACTTCCTTGGGGGGGCGGTTGGCATCTGGACAGATGCCACCACAACAGGTGGGAAGGTCAGGCTGCCTGGAATGGATTTATGTGATTTTTAAAGATTATAAGAGATAATTAAACTGAATGCTCAGCCTTCTGTGGCCCTGGCTCCCGGGTGTTTCTGCCGGCCCGCCCTCCCCCTCCACTACCCCAGGCTTGGGCGCAGCTGGGTCTCTCCTCCATCTCATCTTTGCCCTCCGAGAGTCTCTGTTCAAATGGCCCTCTTCCTCCTACTCAGAGCTCAGCCTGTCTTGAGAGCTGAAGGTGGACCCCCACCAGGAGGCCTGGCAGAGTTTGGGTGACTGGGGTAGGGGCAGCTATTTCTAGACTTCTGAACCTGCTATCTGGGGGAGGCTAGAAAGTGCTGATAGGCCACAGCAGGAACCAGGAGGCTGTATTGCTTCCTCTGACCTTAGGCCACCCAGAGCAGGGTCTTGGCACCAGAAGCCTTGGCTAGGCTTGGCCCGAACAAGCCAGGAGAGGCAGGTAGCTGTGGGGCCAGATCAGACTCTTACAGAATGTTTACTGAGGAAGGAGAGTGGTACAGCAGTGGGAGAGGAGAAGCCTGCCAATGGCCACTTTATCCCCCTACACACACCCCCCAGACCCCAGGTCCAAGTGACATCTCAGCTGGGTGCTCGGGCCTCACTGGAGTTGAGCCTGCGCAGCTGGCTGAGGCTGGCCAGCCGGAGTTTGAGAAGCATCTCCTCCTGTGTGCGCAGTGTGTGCGCCAGCGTGCGTAGGGATTCACTCTGCAGCACTGCGGACAGGCAGGCAGGATGGAGGATTATCAGACCCGTGCCACCCCCACAACTACACCCACCCAGCCCAGTGCCCGAGGGTGCCGAGAACCCCTACCCCACCCTTCACTGCCTCAGCCTCTGCAACTGCTTCCTCCAACCACACAGAAGAGCCTCCTGGTCCCCCTTCCATGCCCTTGTGCCTCCATACCGCTCAGGTAGACGGCCAGGACGGCAAGCACCAGGCAGGTGAACACCAGCAGTGTGAGTAGCAGCAGGAAGCCCCCTCGGCTGTGCATGGGGCTGCAGCCGCACTGGGCACACAGTGATGGTGGCAGGATGCCCAGCAGCTCGTCCCATGGCTGTGCCTCCTCGGCCAGGGAGGGGCGCAGTGAGCCTGCAGGGTGAATGGGCCATCGAGGGCAGTGGGTGTACTTTCTTTCCTCTCCCAGTAGCTGTGTCTTGTTCCCCTACCTGGCTTACCTCCACTGTGTAGGTCACTGATGGACTCCACGTGGTGCAGGTGCACCTCCTGCACGTGGTTGGGGGCCAGCGATGCCCTGTTCCTCGGGCTCAGCATCGGTGCCGTGGTGTCTGCTGGAGCAGCATGTGGCTGATTGAGGCAGCGGGTCACCCCCTCTCTTCTCCTAGGTGGCTTCTAGAGGCAGCGGGGGCTCAGAGGAGATGGGGACAGGACTAAAGGGCATGGGGCTCCTAAGCCCCTAAAACCAACTCAGGAACGAACCTTGATTTTGGAACCAGGATGACCCTGGAACCCTATAGGCCCATTACACCCACAATAGCGGGAGGTGCCCTTGACTTGTTCACGTTTGTTTCCTTCCAAGCACCTCAGAGACTTTCAGGTATTCCTCTGTCTGCTGATTTCTAGAGAATTTATCAGCCTTGGAGGAATAACTCGCAGTGCTTGAAGTTCATTCCTGCCTCTTCTGCTATCGGTTTTCCCTGGGAATTAGCCATCAGGCCAGCCCCAGAGCCTCGTGTTCTGGTCCCCAGCAGAAGCAGCGCCACGCTTGCTGACGGTGCCTTTCTCTCCTGGCATTGGCTCTGTGTTCTTTAACATACTCAGCGTGATTATGCTGTCCTGCTGTGAACCCTGCTGTTTTCACTCAAAATCAAGACAGGAGACCCGCCTTTGCTATCAGACTTTCACAGGCCTCTGAGGTCTTCAGGGCATTTAGGTTGTTTCCAGTTCCCTTTGAAAATGAATAACCCCTAGAAAAGGATGTGCATTGCTGAGTATGAAATATCTGTTTCCCAACAGTTAATATGAACAAATTCCAGAAGCAGAGTTACTGGATCAAAAAGCAGGGACTTTTTTAAACCTATCCTCAAATTGTCTGCCGCAATGGCTGCCCACAGCTCCCAAAAGAGTACAACATTGCCACCATTAGGCATCTCCATTAAAAAAAGGTGTTTTATATATATATATATATACGTTTGCACACATATATTTGGTACGTTGAGAGATGAGAAAAGGCCTTTTTGACCCAATACGTGGCTTTCTAATTATCCATTCACAACCTCTGACCAGTTAGTGTTTATTTTGTGATTTCTGAAATTTTTATTTTCTTCTGGTCTTTGACATTTTTTAAAAATCTTGTCTCCTTAAGATCCCCAGATGCCCAGCTAGAAGCTAGATCACAAAGTGGGACATTTCCTGATAGAGGGAAGGGTGAGTAGACTCTCTGGGTCTATTGCTTTCTGAACAGTAACTCAACCTTCATGATTTGCCTGAAACTGCCCCCTGACGTGCTCAAAAGTAAGTACAACAAAAACAGATGCTGCCTGTTATTATGTCTGGGCGGTGTGTTGGGAGTGATATTAAATCCCGTCTTTGGCTGTGCTTTTCCTACATTTTCTAAATCGAACTCGGGTTGTTCGTTACTAAGAAAAACTCAGTAAATCATTAAGACCTCAAAAGGAGGTAACACCTCCTCCAACTCAGGGTTGGGCCCCTCCCATCCAGTGTAAAATATTGAAAATGTGGTGATGGGGGATGGGGTGGGGAGGGTGGATAGTTGAAAGCAACCAGAAGCCTATCCACTCCCAGTCCCTTCGTCATGTGCCCAAATGCTTCCTGGAAGCAGTGGCCCACCCCTGATCTCAGCCTCTTCCCCAAAGGAAGGAAGCGCTGAACTGGCCAGGCCTCTGACCCATCCACACCCCCTGGGGCACAGCCTATAGCTGCCCCTCCCCCAACTGGGTAGCTCCCTCGATCCTTTCTGTCTCTAGCAGAGGAAACAGGCAGGTGAGGTGAGGAGGGGTTCCAGCATGATAGGCCTTCCTCCATGCACAGGGGGCAGGTCCCATTACTTGAACTGGGACATGGTAACTGATGACTAGTTAGGAAGTGAGGTCAGTGGGACAGGGGACAGGGTCATAATTCTGGGGCCTTGCCTCCCCTCAGTTATCTCCTACCTTCTTGAGTCTCCTCGGGCATGATGCGGGTAGTCAGTCAGGGGGCCTGATGTCGGCTCCCGGGAGCAGGACAGGATGGAGGCAGCAACGGTTTCTCTGAGAGCCTGGGGAACGCCTGGCCACCTCCCAGCCTGGGCCTAAAATAGGCCTGAGCTCAGCCCACTGGGCTATATTTAGAGGAGACAGCTCTCAGCCATGCGAAGGGGCAGAGTGACCCACATGGGCCAGCGTGGACTATCGACCCAGTGATGGAGTGCAGGCAAGAGCATATCTCCCCTAGCGCATGTGCCTGGGGGCTTTCCTGGGGAGCCCTGCCACACCGATATACACATGGACCTCCGTGTCTTCATTCAGACAAGCCATGCTAGGTGGACCTCCAGCAATACCCCACATGGCAGCCAAGACATGCAAGGGGGTCCTGTGCATCGCCACTCCTCCACTCCACAAGACCCCCAACTCACAGCTGGGTTCGTTTCTCCAAGCAAATGTGGGAGAAGCACCCACCACTTTGTGACCTGCTGCCAAAGACTGAGAGTGATGGACAACTGGAACGCAGTGCCACGAGGGCTTACAGAGCCCTAAAAGGAGGCAGGCACCCTCATACATGCGAGCACCCGTGCTGGTCAGTGGAAGGCTGGTACTTCTATTACTAAGCCTGCGACCTTGCGTAAAGGACTGCCCCCTCTCTAACCTCAGTTTTTTCATCTGTAAATTAGAATAACAATGGTTCCTCCTTGGCATAGTACAGATGAGAATGGAAATACAACCATGTGTCTGAAGCACTCAGCTCAATGCACATAGATCACTAGGTCGTGTAAGGATGGATGCATGGCACCACTTATCCTTACCGGAGGGAGTGGTCCAGCTTAGGAGTGTCTGAAGCACTCAGCTCAATGCACATAGATCACACTAGGTCGTGTAAGGATGGATGCGTGGCACCACTTATCCTTACTGGAGGGAGTGGTCCAGCTTAGGGCCCACCCTCTGCGGTTAGACTTCCATGTCCCTTCTTCCCAAATGGGACAAAGCAAGACAGTGGGGCTCTGCTTCTTAAAACATCCCAAATCCATTACTCCACTTAGACTAGCCTCCTTCATGTTCCTCAAACACTGCCAGCTTGTGCCCACCTCAGGGCCCTTGCACTGGCTCCTCCCTCCTGCAATGCTCTGCCTCCAAATAGTCCCCATGGCTGGCTCCTTGTCATCTAGCTCAAATGTCACCCCTTCAGTGAGGCCTTCTGCTGACATTCTTTTCTACATAATCCAATTTTATTCATAGCACTTAGCCCAGAAATTATATTATTCAGAATGTATGTGCATGTCAGTATCCCCACAGGCCCTGCAGGATCCATGTCAGTCACCACGGCATCCTTAGAAGAAACTGAGGTCCTGAGAGTGCTAGCAGGTGTTCAAGGCCATACAGCAAGACCTAGGACCAGCAGTTGTCAGTTGCGCCCATTCCGGCTTCAGCTGATAACGTGTTTATTGCATTAGTACAGTCGGCCTGCCCCACCCCACCCTACCAGCCCAGCCTGTCACAGCTTTCTGCTTATTGCCCAAGGAGGAGGTCCTTCTCCCAGGATGGGCACTCCGAGCACCTCCCCCTCCCAAGTTGTTGCTCTGAAGCCCTGCTTCTCTGCCTCCTCCCAACCAGCCAGACCCTGTGCCTGGCCTGGGCCGCCCCTCCCGGGGCTACATTCAAGGGTTATCCTCTGTTAATAAATAAGCCGGGCGCGGCTGCCCCAAGTCCAGAGCCTCTGTCGGTGTCTCGGTTGGCCGGGGACCGCAGTAGGCCCGCCCCCTAGCTGCTGTCCGTCTCCCAGGGTCTGTCCGCCCCCTCTCCCGCCAGTCGTCTCATCACCCCAGTCCCCGGCGTGGGGACGGCCGAGTCACCAGTGGGCTATGCTGCGCGGCCCCCGCTCAGCGCGCGGCTCTGGGGCGTGCGTCCTCCGGTTGCGACCCTTCCTCCGCGACTCAGGGGGCTGTGGGTGCGCCGCAGGCTGCGGTCGACACATTCGCAGGGAGCTGGCGCCACCGCCACCCGGCTCCACCAGCTGCAGGAAGTCTCGGTACCAGAGCTTGGGGCCTGGCGGCGCGACGGGCACAGCCTCCTCGGTTCGGGCCAGCCTTTCCGCCTGCGCAGCACTCAGCACATGCAGCGCCAGACGACGCAGCGGCTGCGAAAAGCCCTGCTCCACGGCTGCGCACAGGTACGCGCCCGAGTCCCCGCGTCGCAGACCGCGCAGCAGCAGCCCCCGCGTGGTGCGCTCCGCGCGCTCCTCCGCCGGCACCTGCGGGCGGGGCGAGCGTGAAGCGGGGCAGCAGGGTCGGGAACACAGCTCCCAGGCCCCAGCGTGGGACAGGAGAGGCAAGGGTCAGTGGTGGCCTAGCAGGAGCGGCAAAGGTGCGCGCGCAGCTGCACGTTGGAAGGTTGGGTGCAAGGGGCCAGATGGTCTTCAAGTGGAAACCCGAACGGGGCGAGGTTCACCTGAATGCGAGGGGCGGGTCAGGTCCCTCAAGGGGCGGGGCGAGGGAGGGGTTTCTCTTGGGTGGGCGCGCGCGCGCGCGCGTGTCTCTGTGTGTGCGTGTTGCGGAAGGGCAATTCCGGAGACCTAGTTAGCCGGAACCGGACTTCTCCAGGATGTGGCGTACAGGTAAGGGACCAAATAGGACGTAAAAGGTCAGGGCGGGCGAAGCCTCACTGGGTGTGGCTAGACCTCTAATGTGGGGAGCAGGCCAGGGCCTTATTAGTCAGGGCGGGGCCTCTCCTAGATGTAGGGGACAGGACAAGGGCCTGGTTGGGAGAGCTCCCCGACCCAGGCTCACCGGGGTGCCAACTCCCTCCCCAGCGCGCTGGAAGGTCCACTCCACGTGTGCCTGCAGCGAGCGGGGCTCACACTCCAGGAAGGCGCTGCCGCCCTCCACACCGAACACCTTTCGCTCCAGTAGCGCGGGATGGGACGAGTCTGGGGGCAAGAAAAATGTCAGATTTAGGCCGGGCAGGTGTGGTGGGGTGTCTTCAAAGGCTGAGAGGTGGGGGCAGCTGGGGCACTCACCTCCAGAGCACAATGTACTGGGGTCGCCGTTCTTTATGTCTTGCCGCCGGAATCGCCTGGGCGGGGGCGAAGTGGGGGGGGGGGACATTGGAGCCTCCGTAAGCCCATCTTCTTTTAACCAGGGACTCCCTCCCAGGGGCCCGCCCTGACCCTGC